GGGCGTGGCTTATCCTGCACCTGTGGGGTCAGGCGGGCGTGGCTTATCCTGCACCTATGGGTCAGGCGGGTGGGGCGTATCCTAGACCTGTGGGTCAGGCGGGTGGGGCGTATCCTAGCCCTGTGGGTCAGGCGGGTGGGGTGTATCCCAGACCTGTGGGATCAGGCGGGCTGGGGTGGGGTTGGGCGGACTCCCCAGACTGGGTGAGTGGGTTAGCCCTGCTCTCTGGCCCATGCTGTGCTCCTGAGCTCAGCGGAGACCTGGACCAGCTGAAAGAGATCTTGAAGGTGACAGGGACGCCTCCCGATGAATTTGTGCAGAGGCTGCAGAGTGCCGATGTCAGTCGGGAGCTGAGCAGGGGCTGGAGGGGCTGGGCCCTGCCTGGCGGTGGCCCTCACCCTTCCTTCCTGCACAGGCGAAAAACTACATGAAGGGCCTGCCTGAGTTGGAGAAGAAGGATTTTGCCTCCATCCTGACCAATGCAAGCCCTCTGGGTAGGGCCGGACTTGGGGGAGCGTGGGGCCCTTTCCTCGGCCCAGCCTGACCCGCCCTCCCCCCAGCCTTGAACCTCCTGGAGAAAATGCTGGTGCTGGATGCAGACCAGCGGGTGACTGCGGCCGAGGCGCTGACACACCCCTACTTCGAGTCACTGCAGGACACGGAGGATGAGCCCAAGGCCCATAAGTACGACGAGTCCTGCGATGATGTGGACCGCACGCTGGAGGAGTGGAAGCGTGAGTGCGGGGCTTGGGCTGGGCCTGCGGCTGGGCCCCGTGACCCCTGTGGCCCAGGCGCAGAGTCCTGGGTCTGCCAGGCGAGGGACACAGCAGGAGGTCAGAGGGCAGCAGGGCTTCCTGGCTGAGGTGCCCTCTGGCTGAAGCTGAAGGATGACAGGGAGAGCATCCCCGCAGGGGCTTGGCACGCGCAGGAGCGCGAACCACGGGGAAGCAGCTCCGAGCTCGGGGTAGTCGTGAGCGCTTGCCCTCACCCGGCCTGCCCCAGTGCTGCCCAGCTCCCCCTGTCCAGGCCGGAGACCTGGCCACGCTGGAGCCCTGCCACACCCACTTGTCCCCAGGCCTCTGCTCAGACCTCTTGAACTTACCCTTGCCCCTCCTATGACCCCTCCCACCCAGACAACTGCACACCCCTCATGTCCTGCCAGCCTACAGCACCTCACCCCTCCTGACCACTCCTGGCCTGTCCCCTACAGCCCCACTGAGCATTCAGACCCCCTGTAACGACTCTGCTCCTCTAGGCTTTGTGTGGCCTCCCCCTTTACACCAAGGGCCCCTCCCCTCAGTCTGAGGGTCCAACATCTGCTCAGCCTCAAGCTGGGTTCAGAGAAGCCTGCCTGGTCCCCAGGCTCCGGCTCTGGCGCTCCTTACTGGAACTGGCCTCATCCGTCTCCACTCCAGAATGGCAGGCCAGGAGGGCTCTGTGTGTTTCGGTGGCTGCAGGACCAGCCTGGAGATGTAGGGAAGCCTGGGGGCAGCAGTCAGCACCCCTGGGTCCTAGGCCCCGTCCTGCCGCAGACCCAGGGCCTTGATCTTGTACATGGGGGTGGGGGTGGGGGTGGGGCTAGAAGGGTTGTGGTTCCCAAACCACATTCCTTAGGGCCTCTGGGTTTCTCGGGCCTCCACCAGGGGCTCCGCCCTTATCTGTGCCGGTTTTTGTGCTTTTAAGTTTGGTTTGGTTTGCTGAGAGTTTTCTGTTGCTAAAAAAAGATAACCTGAAAACCACGGACCACAGGATCCGCTGGCGGTCCCGCCCACACAAACCATGCTGAAAGCTTTTGCTCTGATTACGAGTATGTGGCCTGTTCGTGGCTGAGCCCCGTCAGGATGCAAACTCTCATCACCTCATTCCCATGGGAAAAGCCAGCTTTACAGCAGTGCCCTCACGCAGACCTTCCCTGTGTGGACTGGCCCCTGCCTTAGGGCCAGAGGGAGGGCCTAGGAGGCACCCTGTGAGGTGGGGCAAACCACACAGATCACTTGCTCTGGAGGCACAGTGTTTCCTGAACTGGGCTTGTGGAGTGCCCGTGTCCCCCAAATAGGCACCCTACTACCCACTACCCCAAAGGTTGGGGTAGGCTGAGCAAACCTGTCCCTTTGCAGACTGCTCAGAGGGGAGTAGAGCAGGCCCCCACTTTGGGTGGCTCCCTTAAGGCACAGTTCAGGGAACATGACCACCGGGTGAGGAAGGTGGGTGCTGCAGAAGTCGGTGGGAATTCCTCTCAGCTAAGTCTGGATGTCCTGGACCCAGAGGCTGGGGTGTGTCCTGGTGGGACCCTGAGCAGCCCCACTCGTAGGAGCATGTTGGTTTACATTCCTAAGGCATCCTCTGTTCACTAAGGCAGGCTGTGGGGCCGAGGCCTGCCTGGCCACTTTAGGGGCAGTGGTTTTGGGTTCCAGGAGCCCCATCAGGGTGGGTAGTCCCTGTGGACCAACTCGGGTGGGCTGAGTGGCTGTGGCCTGGGACGAAGTCACATGTATGGGACAAAAGGAGCCCACCTGACGCCTACACCCCAGCAATGACCTCTGACCTGATGTTTTGGGGGCGAGGCGGCCCCTAGGTCAGTGGCTGTCAGCCTGTGCTCTGGGCCTGGGAGCTCTCCCCACCGCACCCTCAGTGGACTCACGCAGGACTCCTTGCTGGTCGGGGCTACCACCAGAGGACGGCCCAGCCATCGTCTCCAGTCGCTGGGGTCCGCAGTGGTGCACACTGGAAGCTGATTCTGATGGGTGACCAGGCTCCTTCTCCCGTGACTCTGTCTGTCTCACCCCACTCCAGGTGTCACGTATAAAGAGGTGCTCAGCTTCAAGCCTCCCCGGCAGCTGGGGGCCAGGGCCTCCAAGGAGACGGCCCTCTGAAGACCCCTGGGCCCTGAGGGAGTGGAGGGGACCCTGGCTGGGGCTTCCACCTGAAAGGGGGGATCCTGGTTACCACTGTGACCTTGGCTGGGGCTTGCTTCCCAGGAGACACCTCGTTGCATGGACCCCCTCCTACGAGCCTGTGCGCCTGCCCTTAGGCCCCCACTTCAGCCTAACGTTGTAGGAGCATTTGGACTTTCTGGACAGGACACCCACCTGCCTGGGGCTGGTCTCTGAGCCCCTGAGAAGCCTCAGGTCTGAGGGTGGGTGGGGCTTGGGATCAAGGCCTGGCTTCTGACCCTGCTTGCTCTGGACAGAGCTGTGGCCAGCTCATGTGGCTGAGAAGGAAGGACAGGGAGGGCGCCAGGCTCCGACTTGGGAAATCTCTCCTGGGAGGCACTGGTGTGGACGCCTTGGGCACCCACAGCCTGGAATGTAAATTGCCCACATTGCTGGGAGGAAATAAACCCTTTGTAGAGCTCCCACTCTGGCTTCACTTCTTGGTTCGTGGGCTGGACCCCCACCCATTAGCTGCAGCCTTACACAGAGGAGGGAGCCAGCCTGGGAGCTCAGCCCCTCCTGAGCCACTGGGCTGGGGCGCACTCTCCCTCCCCGTTCTGGAGCCCCCACATTAGGGCTTGTCCCCCTCCCCTTGTGGATCCACCTTCCTCTAATGGCTTGGATTCTGGAACCAGACTTTGGGGCAGGGCCTGATGGGCCTGGGGCTCAGTCCCAGCTGTCTGAGTTCCCTGCACCGTCCAAGACCAGGTTCCTAGGGAGGACGGGTGACGCTGCACGCGTCCAGGCACCTCAGGCCTCTCCGCGCCGGTGGCACAGCGGAAAGGTGGGTTCTGTTGTCTCCGATCCCCGGCTACGCCCCAGCGCGATCGGCAAGCCCGCAGGGCCCTCTGCCGGCCATTCGACGTCTTCGAGAGCTGGCAGCCGGATCATAAGCCACTCTTGGGCGCCCGTGGCCGCCCTGGGGCCCATCCCCCGTTTCTCGGCCTGGAGTTCGGCTGGACACGCACAGTCGGTCCAGCTAAAAAATCGAACAAGTTGCCACGGTGCACACCGGCCTTCTCTGCCCAAAGGCTTTTCGGTGCCTCTGGAACCCACCACTGCCAGGACCCTCCGCTCTCTGGGCTTCTAAAGGGGCGGTCTGCCGCAGGCCACGCCCGTCGCGTCCACGTGTGCCAGGGTGGCCAATCAGCACGCCATTCCCTAGCCACCGTGATTGGCGGGCACTTGACCCCAAGTGACCCAATTGGAGTCTCCTCCGGAGCGGGACGCCCGCTGTCTGCGCCCGCAGGTGGAGCCTCACGCGGGGCAGCAGGTGGCGGGGCCCTGTCTGGGCCGTAGTCTACATCTCTCTCACCGTGGGATTTGCCCCGGCACTGTAGGGGCGACCAAGGAACCGGACTAAGGGCACTACCGTCCCCAGCCCATGGGTTTCAGGTCCGCGGCTACCGGTTGCCTCTGTTGAAGTGGCAAAAAACTCTCCAAGTAACCCACAAAAGAAATGGTTTATTTGGGTGAAAAAAAAGATGCAAGACCACCACCGCAGTGCGAAAGCACACCTCCTACATGGAGCTCCTATCAGTAGCCCACGTGGAGGCAGAAAAGACCCCGGTTTCAAGATGGCTAATCCCTTTATTATGACCCCACCTCCAAAATTATCATAAGGATGAACGGAAAGTCAGGATTATAGAGTTAACCAGGGCCCAGCCCCCACCCATAGTCCTCCCAACTCTACGGTTACACATGTTAAGATGCCAGCTCCCTTTATCACCTCTCTCTGGCTATCTTGCTTTGTGGCTGTGCCCGCCCTCCCTCGTCCAGACCCTCCTCCTCCGTCCTTATTTCCGTCGCCCCACGCTGCAGCGACTCCTGTCCTTCCCTACCACCATCCTGACCTGCCCACTCAGCCGCTCTTTGGCCAGGGATCGGTCTGAAGCTGAACTCGGACCCTGTCACTCCCTCCTTAAGCCCGGGGGCAAGCGCAGCACGTCTGGGCAGCCCTGGCCAGGCTAAGCCACGAACCGCCCCCCCCCCCCCCCCCCCCCCGCTCCGCTCTATTTTTGCAGCTCTTCCCGGAGCCCCGGCTGAGCGGTCAGCGTGGACCTGGGGGGATTGGGACAGAAGGGGCCCAGCCCACGACTCGCGAGTGGGTCCTCTGTGTCATCCGCCGGGGTTCCAGCACACGGGCCTTTGGCCCTCACACGCATCCCCTCCCATCTCTAGAGGGGAAAGAGGCCGCCGACCCAACCCCGGCTTCGGCTTCCGAGGAGGTGGAGCCGCGGCTGGAGCGGCGAGGGGGCGGGACGGTACTGGTCGGAGTCGAAGGAAGCCGGAAGCAGGTCCCGGGTGCCACCCAGACAACCCGGGACTCACTCTGTTGCCGCCTGCGGCCTGAGGCCCCCTTCCCGCCTAGGTTGTGCGTGTTCCTGCCCAGGCTCTGTGCCCACCGCCCGCTCTGACCCAGGCGTGGCACTGCAAGGAGGGGACCCTGAGAGTGGGGGCGTCTGTGTCCACCCACACAGGGTGGCCCAAAGTGACCACGGCCAAGCCATGGGAACCGCACTCGTGTACCACGAGGACATGACGGAGGCCAGGCTGCTCTGGGAGGAGTAAGTGTGACCTGGCAGAGGCTGGGGAAGGGGAGGGGGCTCTGGACTCTGAGCTCCGTGTCCACGCAGCCCCGAGTGCGAGATCGAATCTCCTGAACGCCTGACCACCGCCCTGGAACGCCTGCAGCAGCGTGGCCTGGAGCAGAGGTGCCTGAGGTTGACAGCCCAAGAGGCCTCAGAGGCAGAGCTGGGCTTGGTGCACAGGTCAGACCCTAGGCAGGCAGGCCACGTGCCCTGGAGGACGCAGGGTGCAGCCTAGGACCTGGGCCTCCCTGGACCCGCCAGTGCCTTGCAAACAGTGGCTCTCCCCCATATGTTTCAGTTTCACCATTGGGTGGGCCGGTGAGGGAGCAATGAGGCGGGCAGTCCCACCTGGGGTCCAGCCCGCCTCCCCATTCCTGCTAGTGACCCTGCCTTGCCTGCCTGCCCGCCCCTCTGCAGCCCCGAATACGTGGCCCTGTTGCGGGAGACCCAGGCCTTGGGCATGGGGGAGCTCCAGGCGCTGTCTGGACAGTACGATGCCGTCTACTTCCATCCGGTGCGTGCCCTGGGGACACACCCACCCACCCAGACACACAAGCCTGTTCACGGCCACGGCTGCCAGACCTGGCCAAAGTCCCCGACTTCATAGATGTGCCAATGCCCTGCACACCTGCTGGCTGGGGCTGCTGGCACCTGGGACTGTCCTGGCCCATTCCACTGAGCGCTTGGTGCCCTGTAGCCTGGCACAGGCCTGGGCAGAGTCTGGGGGGTAGTGGTGGGGGACTCATCTGCACCCTTGCCCCCACAGAGTACCTTCCACTGTGCCCGGTTGGCCGTGGGGGCTGGGCTGCAGCTGGTGGATGCAGTACTGACAGGAACTGTGCACAATGGGCTTGCCCTGGTGAGGTGAGAGCTGTCCCCCCACCTGGGCTGCCCCCCCATATGGGCACAGGGTGACTCTGCCTTGCCCCACGCCCCGCTCTCACACACAGGCCTCCTGGGCACCATAGCCAGAGGGCTGCCGCCAATGGATTCTGCGTGTTCAATAATGTGGCCATAGCAGCCAAACATGCCCAGCAGAAGCATGGGCTGCACAGGTGTGTGCAGGGCAGGTTGCAGGGGTGGAGCCAGATGGAAGGGCCTTGCCTGAGACCCCACCCAGCCTCTCCCATCCTGGGCTCCACTGGCCTGGAGGCGGGAGGCCCCTCCCCTTGTGAGCTCTGTGCTGTCTGTCCCCAGGATCCTCATTGTTGACTGGGATGTCCACCATGGCCAGGGCATCCAGTATATCTTCGAGGACGACCCCAGGTGAGCTAGGGGTGGGGACCGCACTCTTTGGGGCACACAGCCTGGTCTGGGAAAATTCAAATGGGAAGACATGGCGGTTTGCTCAAGGGTCAGGATTCTGTGAGGAGGCATGGGGCTGAGGGTCCTGACCTCTGACATATGACCCTGGCCGGTTATCCCCAGCATCCTTTACTTCTCCTGGCACCGCTATGAGCACGGGCGCTTCTGGCCCTACCTACGAGAGTCCAATGCAGACGTTGTCGGGCAGGGACAGGGCCGAGGCTTTACTGTCAACTTGCCCTGGAACCAGGTGCCACCTTTCACCCCCGCCCTCTCCCCCAGAGCTCTTCCCCCAGCCCATATTCCCCACCCCACAGTTCCAGGCCTCCTGAGTGTAGTTCAGGGCATCCTGCCAGGGTCACCCCCAGAGCTGAGGCTCCAGGGGTGAAGACCCCACAGCCCCCCTGACAGGGTCCAACGCTGACGCTCATGGCTGCAGGTCGGGATGGGAAATGCTGACTACATGGCTGCCTTTCTGCACGTGCTGCTTCCCGTGGCCTTTGAGGTAACCATGTGGGGGACAGGGGCGGTCTCGATGGCAGGAGGGTGGGAGGGGGACGCAATGCCCAGAGTTCCCCCTGACCTCCACCATAGCAGAGCCAAGTCCTGGGGTGGAGGTGGTCTCTCTGGAGGGGCCTCCCTTTCACCCCACTCCACCCGGCCCTGCCCACAGTTTGACCCTGAGCTGGTACTGGTCGCAGCAGGATTTGACTCGGCGATCGGGGACCCCGAGGTGAGGGCCTGGCCTGGCTGGGAGGGCTTCTGGGGTCCTGCAGCCAGGCCCCGTCACACCAGCTCTGGTTCCAGGGGCAGATGCAGGCCACGCCCGAGTGTTTTGCCCACCTCACACAGCTGCTTCAGGTGCTGGCCGGTGGCCGGGTCTGCGCCGTACTGGAGGTGACTATGGGGACCAGGGAGGGCCTGCAGGCCAGAGTCAGGTTCTACCGGAGGGGCCTGCCACCCAATGACACCTCTGCTCCAGCCACGCCTCTGCCATTCTCCCTCCTCCCAGGGTGGCTACCACCTGGAGTCGCTCTCCCAGTCAGTGTGCATGATGGTGCAGGCCCTGCTGGGTGACCCTGCCCCACCGCTGTCGGGGCCCATGGTGCCACATCACAGGTGCGAGGGGCAGGAGGGTGGGAAGGGCTGTGGTTGCGAGGCCAGGCCTCACCACTCCTGGTCCTCCCCGCAGCGCCCTGGAGTCCATCCAGAGTGTCCGGGCAGCACAGGCCCCTCACTGGACAAGCCTCCAGCAGCAAGGTCAGTGTGGTGTGGGTT